TGCAACATTTTTACCACTCCTATCCTTGTCAAACACAAAATGTTCATCATCATTGTTGTCATTAGCGTCCCAATTGCACTCGAAAACTTCCAGCCTTTCAAGATTGAACGACCCCTCCTTTTCAATTATTGCTTTTACTTCATCCTTGTATGGATAATAAAAAGGAAAATTGAATGAATCAATAGCTTCCTTCTGAACAAGTCCCTACGATCAATAAAATAGCTGCTGTTACTTTTCGAATAGTTCTATAGAAAGACAATGAGCATTGTAAATTTAATTGGGATATATGAAGAGAAATGGATTAAACCTCAGTCACCAAGTCGAGCAGTGACTTTGTGAGCAATTCCCAGAGGATGCAACAATCTTTGTCAGTGGGATCTGCAATCCTCCTACCGAGAAACGTTAAAATCATAGGCCCGCCAACTACGATTTCCTCAGAGCGCAAACTTAGAAATGTTGAGAAGTCCATTTGAAATTGCTTTAAATATGCTTCAAAAACTGTCGGTGGACTTGTTCTTGCTATGTATATATTTCCCTTGTTCTCCAGTCTTTCAGGAATCTATCATTAATTAAAAAAAAAAAAAATTTACTTCACATGTCGTGTTAATTAACTAATTTTGTTGTGATGTCAACACCTCTTGCGCAATAAATAAAATTTAAAAAGTAAGATATGGTAACAATTTTATGGATGTTTTGTTTGTTTAAATTTGGAGTTCAATGTTTTCACCAAAGTTAATTTAGTTTGAACGTAAGCTAAGTTAATAAATGTTATTTCACCTTAGTACCCGTAATTTGATTTATACTTGATTTTTGTGAGCATATGTTTGATACAAGAAAGACAACACAAACCTGAGATAGCCAATGAACACTATAAGATGAATGAACAAAGTGCAAGCTCTTTCTTGGGAAAAGCCTACAATAAAAAGAACCAGGCACCCCTGATACGAAGCAAGCCCCCGGTAACTTTTCTTCTTTCTCCATTTTGATCTTCTCATAGAATGTTGGGAGCGATTTGAAAATGCTGTTGAAGTCATTTTGGGGAAGATCATTTAAACATATTTCAATCTCTGGTGCTTTGCAATTGTTTTGTTGCATCAAATTATGAATGATGCTAATTATTTGAGAGATGACTAAGAATGTGTTTGGTCCTGAAGAGCAACCCAAATCTGCTATTTTTAGGTGTTTTGGGAAGGCATCATTATTGCACACTTTCTTGAGGGTGTCTTCTAGAACTGGCCTCGCCATCAATATTGCTGTTTTCTGAATAAACATATGATTAAATTGTTTAGATGCCATAATAAATAAAACGAATGAGTAAATAAAAATGATGTATTATTCTTTTTAAGTAATGTTGATTTTGGTGTACAAGGAAGAGTTGATAAACACTACAATAAATTAAGGTTTTAGACACAAAAAATAAGAGTTGAAATATCTTAATTTCCAAAAATGTCATTATTGTATTTTTAGCGACAAAATTAGACATTTAATAATGAATTACTATTTTTTTGGGACCAAAAATTTTGTTCAAAAAGTAAATCTTTTGGCACAAAATTATTTTATCTCTAAAACTATATTTATTAGCGACATTTTCATTTTGTTGCTAAGGTCATTTTTTCCAACAAAATTTTCACTTGTAGAGATGAAAGAGTTTGGTCCGTAAAACACTTATATGATGTAGTGAAAGGTGATGCAAGGGTTTGCATCATAATTTTAAATAGTACTATCTGGACATATATCGGTATTGATTGCGGTGTCATATTATGAAGAGTATCAAACGATATGCATCTAAAATCAACTGTCGCGGTCAGGAGTTTTTAAAATTAACAGTCGCAAAAAAGTGCTTTATAGCAATTGAACTCGCCATATCAGGTGTGAAACCTGATACGTTTTGGGAATTGACCGATACACATGTGATTTTCATTTCAACCAATATACCGGAATGTACTGGAATGTATCGGTGTTAGAATGAAAAAACCAGATATGTATTGACCAATACGGTACATGTTGATTGATATTTAAAAGGGATACTTACCAATTAGTCCTACTAACTAGACTTATTTATCTACAGGTTTTGATTGATAAATTTATTACTGTAAATTTATTTATAAAAACAAAAGAGATTAATAAATTTATCATTTGATAAATTTATCCTATTTATAAAACAGAGAGAGAGAGAGAGAGAGAGAGAGAGACCTGAAGGGTTGAGTTATTGGCATAGCTAGTTTCTCCATTGCCTGCATTCATGTGAAGAACATTTTGGACCACCATGTTTCCTTTGTTTGCCGCCCTTGCCCTTCTGGTCTATATATAGATGACCTGTGGGCAAATACGACTTTTTCAACTTGAGATGAAATAATTTGGGGAGCTTCTATTTACACATCCACCTTCCCCTCTTTGCACACACTTCATAAAAATTATTTTTATTATAAATTTTTTTTCAGGTGAAATTACTATTATAGACATTAAATAAACCCATTCGGAAGTTGATTGTCGAAAAAATAATAAAAATTCGGAAGTCTACTTCCGAACCATTTGTTTATTTTCGGAAAGCTACTTCCGAACCAATTACTTATTTTCGGAAATCTACTTCCGAACCAATTATTTATTGAAAAAGATGTGTAAAGAGGGGAATAGGTGTGTGTAAATAGAAGCTCCCAATAATTTGCTTGTCTTTTCATTAGCTTAAGTCTCACATTTTTTTTCTTCTTTTTTATGCTGCATTAGTTTTTTGAATTTTTAAGGAAAATATAACCAGCGTTTGATAGAGTTTGCTAAATATAATTTTAGAATAGAGTTATATTTTGAGTTTGTGAGTTTTGGAATTATGATTTGAGTATAAAAAATTTGTTTTGTTATGAGCTTTAAAAAAAGTTTTGAGTTGAGTGTTGAATTGAATTCTTAATGTTTGATATGACATGTGAAATAAGAAAATTTGTTTGGTTATGAGTTTTGGAAAGAATTTTCAAAACTTGATTCAAATTGTCATAAATCATAACTAAACATACTACTTAAAACTCTATTGAAAATTCTGATCAATACTCATAAGCAAACTCTTTTTAAAATTCAATTAAAAAAATTAATTATTAACAGAAAATAATATTAATCAATTTTTTTAATTGAAAATATTACGAAGGAAATAATTTTTTTTTTTCAAAATAAATATTCAATTGCTGATTTAAAATAAATTTTTATCGTATAGTTGGTTTGAATTTTTTTAAAAATATTTTTCGGTTAAAATATTTTTATATTTTTAATAATTACTGTCACAAATTATTTGCTATTTATTGTATTGTTATTTTCAAATAAATGACCAAAAAATTTATCAGGTATTATCTATGTGGGAGTCAAAAAAAAAAAAATTAGAATATTATTTTGTTAGCATCTATATAATTTACAAGACACAATTCAATTTTATTCGAATTTTTTTATTTGTTGATTTTCATCAATTTCGTGAAACATGCATCCTTCATGTACGTCGTCATTTATATCATTTGTTCAACCACCAACTTTTATATCAGAGGTTGACCCACCAACAACTTTACCATCTTCATAATTAATCTCATAATTTATCAATTTCTTTCTTAATGTTGATGTCTTATCTTCTTCACTTTCTCTTGGCAATTGCCACACACACAAAAAAAAATAAAATAAAATAAAAAAAAAAAGTGCACTATAGCGGTCAGCTGGCCAGACATCCAAGAAGATGTTCGGAAGGACGACTGAGTAGACTTAAAAATTCAAAAACTGTATGAAGGACAATAGATCCTTGACAATGGAAGGCCACAAAGTGACCAAACAGAGCCAATGGTTATTTAAATCCCCCAAGGCTTGGGACTCCCGTGGTGATACTTACAAAACATAATTGAGTGAGGGTACAAAAATAATCATTGGAGCTTCTATTTTCTATTACAAAATTCATTGACCAAAATGCCGATATTTATATATAAAAATATCATAAAAGTGCTGTGTGTGTCTATTCCTCAGCCCCGCATCTAAGACTTTCCAAAAGTTATTTCTGAATCGCGTTGTTTCCTAAAAATTGGTAAACAGCTATAAGCACATGGTAGAGTGAGAAACATTATACTAAGAGTATAATGGACACAAAATAATCATAGATAATTATGTAACTAAAATATTTAAGATAACTTAGTCTGAACAAATAATCATTTAAATAGCAAAACTGAGATTATGTAAATAAATATCCATAACCACAGTACCGAACAGAACAGAATAGAGGTCACAACAGTGACAGTTAGAACAGAGGTACGGATTCAATAGGTGGTTCATATGAATAATAGAGGTGGCTCCCACAATAGTATAATACTTATCTCCGCACAACACTTTGCTCTGCACAGAATAGAGGTCAATAGATTCTTGACAATAGAAGGCCACAAAGTGACCAAACAGAGCCAATGGTTATTTAAATCCCCCAAGGCTTGGGACTCCCGTGGTGATACTTACAAAACATAATTGTATATAAGGTTATAGTCAAATATTCTTTAAAATATAAACAAACATATTCATAGGTTTCATTTTAACAAATAGAATTCAGAAATTAATCCACGTAATCGAAATATTAATATAATTAATAATAATTTATAAAACATAACTTATATAAAATAAATTATGATAAATCAAAACATACATAAAATATATTATGATAACTCAAGATATAATATAACTTACCTTAACTTTAATACCTCATTATTTCTTTCCACTATCAAAAATCGTCTCGATTTCCACTATTTTTTCTTTCCTTCTCTTACTTTCTTTCCCTTATCTTCCTCTCCTCCTTTTCCTTTTCTTTCCTTTCTTTCATTCCCTTTCTTTCTTTTCCTTCCACACATATCACCTCCTCTCTCTATTTATAGGGAGGTGACAACGTTATCCGCGCGAATCCATCCACAGATTCGATAATAAATTATAAAAATTTATATTTATTTTTAATAAATATTTAAAATAATTACATTTTGATTCAATTTTTTAATATAAATTAATCTCTAATTAAATTACATTCTATCGTATATTAACAGAAAATTAATTATTTATTTTACTATCACATCTATTATTATTATTATTATTAATTATCAATCAATATTATTATTTATTTACTTTAACCCTTAAATTTTTACTAATTATATTATTTAACAAAATTATACATAATATCAAAATCAATCGTTTATTTTCCTAACTGTGATTAAATAATATTAATATAAATTTTACAGAGTAATTAAAAATCTAGGTTGTTACAATCTTCCCTCCTTTTAAAATTTCGTCCTCGAAATTTGTCATAAGTGTAGATTATCCGCTGCGCACTTTGATAAATATATATTAGATGATTAATCTGATAAAAAATATTACCTCAAAAATTTTTTTTTACCAAAAATAACTCACTGTCTAGTTGTCAAACATTGTTTTTGGCTAAAATGAGAAACAATCAGTGACTTTAAAAAACTTTTCATTAGTTTTATTTCGGAAAAAAAAAATAAAAAAAATAAAATGAGAACACAATCAAACAAGCGACTGGAATTGAAATGACAAAATCATATGTAAGAGTTGAAGGAATTTAAGATGAACGCCCTTTCTTTTATTCGTGAACTTTCCTCTGACGAAAAATAGTTTTAAAATTGGTATCTTTATAATTTGAACCCACTTTTAAAAAGTTGAAATAAATTTTTTTTTTCGAATACTGAACTGAAAATTATATGTATTTAATTATATTATAATTTTGGTGGGTGCTTGAGCCTGACACCCTCTGTTTCTTTTCCTTCTTTTGCTATAACAAATATAAATTATATTTAATATCCTTCACAATTTAGGAACACAAAAATATATATATATATATATATATAAAATCATAATATAATTAAATCGACTAACAAAATATAATATTTAGGTACTAATTACCCGCTATCTTACTTCTTAAATATGTGTGTGTCCTATGCTCCAATGATGATTTATTTATTTTTTTATAAACCATTACTCTAATACCACTTGTCACGATCTGCTCCCCGTACTCAAGGGTTGAGCATCGTGATGGCCAGCAACTAAAATTATCTCTGACCAATTCTTGAACAAATAAATAAACGCACGCAGAAGTAATATTTAAGTGAGGGTACCAAAATAATCATTGGAACTTCTATTTTCTATTACAAAATTCATTGACCAAAATGCCGATATTTATATATAAAAATATCATAAAAGTGTTGTGTGTGTCTATTCCGCAGCCCCGCATCTAAGACTTTCCAAAAGTTATTTCTGAATCGCATTATTTCTTGAAAATTGGTAAACAGCTATAAGCACATGGCAGAGTGAGAAACATTATACCAAGAGTATAAGGGACACAAAATAATCATAGATAATTATGTAACTAAAATATTTAAGATAACTTAGTCTGAACAAATAATCATTTAAGTAGCAAAACTGAAATTATGTAAATAAATATCCATAACCACGATACCGAACAGAACAGAACAGAGGTCACAACAGTGACAGTCAGAACAGAGGTACGGATTCAATAAGTAGTTTATATGAACAATAGAGGTGGCTCCCACAATAGTGTAACACTTATCTCCGCACAACACTTTGCTCTGCACAGAACAGAGGTCAATAGAGGTCAATAGATCATTGACAATAGAGGGCCACAAAGTGACCAAACAGAGCCAATAGTTATTTAAGTCTCCCAAGACTTGGAACTCACGTGGTAATACTTACAAAACATAATTGTATATAAGGTTATAGTCAAATATTCTTTAAAATATAAACAAACATATCCATGGATTTCATTTTAACAAATAGAGTTCAGAAATTAATGCAACATTAATATAATTAATAATAATTTATAAAACATAACTTGTATAAAACAAATTATGATAAGTAAAAACATACATAAAATATATTATGGTATCTCGAGATATAATATAAATCACTTTAATTTTAATACCTCACTCTTTTTTTCTACCACCAAAGACCGTCTCAATTTCTATTATTTTTTCCTTCCTTTTCTTTCCCTTGTCTTCCTTTTTCCTTTTTCCTTTTTCCTTTTTCTTTTCTTTCTGTCTTTCCCTTTCTTTCTTTTCCTTCCGCACATATCACCTCCTCGCTATATAGGGAGGTGACAACGTTATCCGCGCGAATCCTCCCATATATTCGATAATAAATTATAAAGATTAATACTTGTTTATAATAAATATTTAAAGTAATTATATTTTGACTCAATTTTTTAATATAAATTAATTTATAATTAAATTATACATTATTATATATCAACAGAAAATTTATTATTTATTTTACTATCATATCTATTATTATTATTGTTATTATTATTTATTTATACTTTGACCCTTAAATTTTTACTAATTATATTATTTTATAAAATTACACATAATAATACAAAATCAATCGTATATTTTTCTAACTGTGATTAAATAATATTAGTATAAATTTTACAGAATAATTAAAAATCTGAGTTATTAAGCTTTGGTTGGGAAGTTGGTTTTGGAAGGAGTTCTGCCAAACGTGAAACAGAAACGTGTTTTGAAATGTGTGGTGAAATTAATTTTTGAAAACTCCATCCAAATGGTTTGTTCACGTGAAGGGGTGAAATTGTGATTGGAAAACTGTACCAAACACCGCCGTAATTTTTCTTATTGGATTCCCATAAAAAAAAAATAACGAAAAAATACGAATATTTCCCATGGAAATGCATAGGCAAACCATTTTCATTTTTTCTTCCCTTTTCTGTTCCAACCCAAGGACTAAATAAGTTGCTTGTGAAGCACATCTGTTAAACTTTTTATTTTATTTTATTTTATTTTATATATCTATTAATTTTTTCTTTATCATTTTCTAAGCACAAGTAGGTTGTTTATTTGATTGATTTTATTTATTTATTTCTTCTTTTCGTTTTGCTACACAAATCTTAGATCGAAAAAGAGCCTTTAGATATATAATTACTGTATTTTATGAAAAATTATTTATTGCTCCAAAGACAATAACACATGATGCAACAATTTAATTTTTATTAATTAAAACAATAATGCTTGAGACCACTAAAAGTAGTACTCTAAAAGCACCACTAGTGATGTGGCAATGGACGGAGCCCACTGCTTGTGTCTTGTTTTTTTTTTTTTTTAAATGCTTGCCAACTCATTAGTGGTGCTTTAAAGCACCACTTTTAGTGGGATGTATCATTACCCGTATTCAACGCTGATATATACACCCAGTGGGGGTAGAAAGCATTTTTGTACCCGTATTGGAGGGTGTTATTGGACTTGTAGGAATTTATCACGGGTCTTGTTTTGATAATCTGAACCGTTGAATGTGTAGAACTCGCCGAGTAATATATATACACACAAAATCACATTGATCGGATATCGATAGCTATATGATTAATTTAGTTTTGTATAAAAAAATGAAAAATGAAAAGTGAAAAAATAAATGATTGATAGAAATGTGATCCGATGAAATAGCTATCGATATCTGATCAACATAATTTTTTACAAGCATATAATACTTAACGAGTTTTACATATTAACGGTTCAAATTATCAAAATGAAACCAGTGATAAACCTCTATAGATCTAATAACACCCTTTAATCCGATCACCAATGGGAGGAAAGCCAATCTCTAGGAGACTCTTCCCTGACTTCGCCCTCTTTTAGTGACCATTGTTGCCATACATGATTGTACCTGCTAGACTCTTTTTCCACTCCGCTCTCCTCTGTTCCCTCCGATTATTTTGTTTTGCAAATTACATTTTCAATATTGAATTAAACATTTTCCTGTAGGGGGATTGGAGAGAAAAAAAGCATAGGGAGAAAATGTGTGTTATACTTGAATAGAATTAGTTTTTAATTAATTGAACCAACTTAGTTGGCCACTTTTGCACATTCTTATGTTTGAATTTAGAAATCAATCGTCACAAATTAAATTGACTTATTTATTTTTGAGAAGATTACGACGGTAGTCTTTGTGTAACGTTCCAAAATAAATAATAATATCCCATCTCGTAATATTTCTTACAAATAATCAATAAACTCATATTTTATATTCCATTTATAATCTTGATCATACAAAAGATGACACAAGCGGTATATATTTATAAATTCTAGATCTTAAATTTATAATATATGACATGGATACATGAATTTAAAATAAAAGTAAAATCAAATAATCATATGTCCTAATGGTTACATCTTTCCAAATCGGCACTTGGGTATATCAAAATGAGTTTAACTCAATACAACTAAGCCCAAGACTTATACAAAATAATTACATCAAACAAATAAAAGAAGCCCTTGGCTCCAAGCCTTCCCAATCTATGTCCTTAATAGAGACATATCATCAGCACCAGAGACGGATCTATTTGTAGACAGTGAGGGGCCATTGCCCCCTTGTTCAAAGGAATAATGCTATTAGGATGATATGCTATGATACCAAAAACCTTCTTGTTATTAGAAATGCCCCTGCTGCTCTACCTTAGCAATATTGAACACTTAATGGGCCTTAATAAAAACAAGCTCATCTGTACGAAAGAATTTGTACACCAAAAAAATAGAATTATTATCTTTTTTTTATAGATTTATTTAATAAAAGCATAATTTAACAGTAATAATACATAATTATATATATATTTTTTTATCACAATTTATTTATCACCACATGAAGCATACTCATAATGTTAATATCATATTAATGAAATTCACGTGAGACCTAGTAAAACTTTTGAAATTTGAAAAGAAAAAAAAAATTACCTTCACTTTAATCGATAATTGGGAGTTAGCATATATAAAGAATTAACTAAGTTATGATTTCTTTGTTATTTATTTATTAAA